AACGATATTTTTTTGCCAAAATCACATCATGGGCTTTGCCCATGTGTTTTGATCGTTGGCCCATTTCGCATCGAATTAAGTCCAAAAATCCCCAAAACTAGCCTAAAAATCTCAAATCATGTCACCATCCGCTATCGTGCCACTCCATGAATTCTAATGTCATTTGTCCCATATCATTCCCCACGGGAAAGAGAAAATTCAACCTCAAAATTGATCACATCATCATCATCGAAGAGTCACTACAAAATTTTATCAAATGCTTGATATTAAACACATCGGCAGTACAAATATGACTAGGCGAGTTTAAGGTGATATGCATTGGGATTGATCTTCTTAACTATCTTCATAAGACCAATCTTCTTTGCTACTAATTTATTATAATCTCCCACGGAAAAATGATCCTTGGTGAGGATAGCCCATACGAAGTCACCTTCTTCGAACTCTACACGACGACACTTTTTATCGCAGCTACTTTGTACTTCATAAGATTGAGTCAAGTTGTCATGCACAGCTTTATGAATCTCCTATAGTCTTGTCACAAAATCAACTCGCCTTACCATGAATCTTTGTTTTACTCGACAAGCGGTATCAAATCCAAAGGCCCACGTGGAACGACAAAATACACCACCTAGAAAGGACTAAATCTTGTACTCTTATTAACAAGCATGGTTATGAGCAAACTCGAGCTTGGTATAATTTCGATCCCAACTCTTGATATGATCACCAACCAAACATCGTAACAAGTTTTTTAAAGACCGATTGACAATTTCGGCTTGCCCATATGTCCGTGGATGATAGGCACTACTAAAATTTAACTGCGTATTCACCATCTTCCACAACCGCACCAAAAATGACTAAGAAACCTTGTATCTTTTTCGGACACAATAGGTACAGGTAGACCATGCAAGTAATACACCTCCCGAAAATAAAGTCGAGTAACATTAACGAGTATATATCGTCTTTTTGCAAGGAATAAAATGAACCATTTTAGAAAAATGATCAAAAACCACATAGATGGAATCCTTACCTCGCCGTGTTAGAGATTGTCCCAAAACAAAATCCATGCCGACATCCACCCAAGGCCAAGGAATAGGCAGCGGTATGTAAAGTCCAACATTAGTAGCTACACCTCGGACACTTGGTGGATTCGATAACGTTGTATAAACTTATCCATCTCTTTCCGAATGGTAGGCCAAAAGTACAAACCTTGGACTAACTACAATGTTCTACCTCACCCTACATGACCCTCCTCATGCAACTCTTTAATAATTTGCACACGCAAACTACAATCGGGAATACAAAGCTAGTTTTTTTTAAATAGGAAGCCATTATGTAAGAGGAATTATGTCTTCTCTCCTGTACGAACCTTCTCCGTAACAAGTAGAGAAATATGGATTAGTATCAAGCAAATCACAAAACGAATCTAAACCGGGTACCTCAACTTATGTGTGTGTCAACGACCAACTCCTCCTACTTTGTGCATCCGCCACTCGTTAATGACCCTAGTCTTATATTTAACCACAAAAGTAAACTATTGCAAATAAGAAACCCACCTCGCATGCCTTGATGAGACTTTATCATGCTTGTGTAAATACTTTGATGCCTTATGATCGGTATAGAATACAAATTTCTTGTGAAATAAGTAATGCCTCCAAGTGTTTGACTACTTGAACCACTCGAATAAAACTCCATATCATAGTACTATAATTAAGTTTCGCACTTGATAGTTTCTCACTAAAGTAAGCCACTCGGTTTGCTATTCGACTCAACACTACCCCAATACCCAATTTCGATTCATCACTGTATAGCTCGAATGGATGTGTGAAATCCGGTAACACTAAAATTGATGCGGACGTCAACCATCCCTTAATCTTCTAAAATGCCTCTTCTACCTCTTTAGTCCATGTGAACTTTGCTTCCTTAATGTAGTCGATAATCGAGGCCATGATGCTACCGAAGTGAGGAATGAACTATTTGTAAAAAGAAGCGAGTCCATGGAAGCTCTAAATCTCCGTGATGTTGCTAAGTCATGGCCCTTGTCTCACCATCTCGACTTTGGACTCATCTACTTGCAATCCATCTTCAAACATTATATAACCAAAAAACGAGCACCTTGGGTTCCATGAACACACATTTTCTCGCATCGTATAGAACTTATCTCTCGTGAAGCACTGGTAGAATCTCTCTTAAATGTTGAAAATAGACTTTTGGGCCAAGCACTATAAATTAGGATATCATCAAAATAAACAACGATAAATTTATCGATAAATGGCCTTAAGGCTCGATTCATGACACGTATAAAAGTGCTTGGCGCGTTTGATAACCCAAATGGTATGACTAACCATTCATACGAGTCCTCATACATCTTAAAGGTCGTTTTCCACTCATTTTCAAGCCTAATGCGTATCCGATGATATCCACTCTTCAAATCCAGCTTTGCAAAGATCGTTGCATAGTTGATCCGATCAAGTAAATCATCCAACCATGGAATAAAGAACCCGTACCGGACTATAATTTTGTTAATGGCACGTTATCTACACACATGCGTCAAGAACCATCCTTCTTTAATGTCAACGGAGCAGGCATGGTACAAGGATCAAGCTCTCTCGTACATGCCTCTCGGCAAGCAACTTATCAACTCGCCTCCTCAACTCCTCATGCTCACCGGGACTCATCCCGTAATGGGGTCTATTGGGCGACATCGCCCCAAGCTCTAAATCAATATGGTGCTCGGATATCTCGTAATGATGGTAACTCGTCAAGCTACTCCTCCGGGAACATATCACGAAATTCTACCACAAGAAGGGTTATTGCCTTCGGTACTACCACACCAATGTTGGCTTCCCTTCCCATCAACATATAAATCACTCTTGAATCTTACACCTCTTCCTCAAACCGAGCTAACAACACCAACTTACTACTATCCCTTACAAGCTTGGAAATAACTCGGATTCTTGCTAGGTCTAAGCATAATTTTGACCTCATTAAACATGAATATGTAGGTGTTAGATCTCCCATTATGGGTGACAATCCTATCATATTGTCATGGCCTACCCAACAACAAATGACATGCATCCATGACAACCACATCCTTATACTTTGAACCAATAGAGAATGAACTAAAGCTTGCTAAAAAATAGTTACCTCACCTCCCTTTTTAAGCCAAACCAGCTTGTAAGGTCTTGGGAGTCCCTCTCGCTTTGAGACTCAATTTTTGCATTGTCTCATCGGACATAATATTTTCACGAGCTACCAAGCATCGATGACAAAGCGACATACCTTATCCCGAATTATGCAAGTGGAATGAAAGAGATTACTCATTAGCCAATCATCCTTAGTGACCCTAGGAGTCAAGCGAGACCTCCTCACAACTAGTGTCGTCCCCTCATCACCCATAGCAACTTCCTCTTCCGAGGCATCTTTATCGTCATAAACAAGCTTACCGGCTAGCTCATCATCACCTTCATCATACTCCTCCGTATCGCTAGCAAGCACCATCTTCCCCGCCTTTTGACACTCGGATTGCCTATAACCAATTTCACCGTAACTCAAGCACTTTATGTTATTACCGATCGCCTTGCTAGGCCGCCCAATAACTAGAATGTTTCGACTTCGTTATCGTCACATCCTCGCTCGGCCTACACCACCACCTACATCGCCACCGCCTCCCATACCGAAAGGGTTAGTGAAACTGCTTGAATGACACGAATGCTTCTTAACCAAGCAACGCTTTCTAAAAGGCTACTAAAAGACACAAGATCGAACATATTAATGAAGTCTCTAATTTGTGGCTTTAGTCCCCCAATCTACCTCGCCACCAATTGATCATCTCGTCTCTTGTAATTCATTTCGGGCTAACAACCGATAGAATTCAATGGTATAATCATCTACCGACCGAGCCCTTTGTCTCAAATCCCGTAACCATTGGTACATCATCCTCTCGAAAGTTGTAGGGTAAGAAGGCGGTACGTATGTGCTTCTTCATCTTTTCTTAAGACATAATGTTAGGCTTACCCATCCAATTTCTAGTCGGCTTCAACTGCTCCAAACGTATCACATCGGTGTGCTCATACATCTCCTCCACATCTCACTCTCGTTGCTACTGTCTCCTTAGAAGCATGGTCAAGGAAGCAATAACCAAGCTTTGATACCAACCGACGTAGCAAAAACTCACAAGAAAGAAAGATAAATACCTTTGATCCGGTATTCGGATGCCGCTCTACTATAACCTATTGATTTGCATACAAATGCTAGGGAATAGGCCTCAATTTCGTTGATTCAAAAAATGCCGGCAATTGAAAAAATTGAGATACTCTCTTACAAAAATTTATTAATCAAGCAAAAGTGGCATTTTTCAAGCTAGAAGTCTTACATAAATAATAAATTTTAGGTTAAAACCTTAAAGCAATTTTAAAAGGAAACAAATACTAAAAATCCGAAAAATACGTTACTATAGTGGATAATAGTAAATTGGCAATTTGAAGGTCTAAATGATGTTTTTTTGCCAAAATCACACTTACATCATGGACAGAGCCCATGAGTTTTGATCACCGGCCTGTTTTGCATCGAATTAAGTCCAAAAATCTCAAATTACATCACCATCTGATATTTGATATTGTACCGCTTCATGAATTCCAATGCAATTTGGTCCACATCACAAAGATATTTTGGGTCCCTGTTTCTGTGTTGGTCATTATGAATTCTCATATGTTTTCATATAGGTATTGCATTATAACTGTCTGTTACGCAGCATTTTGTATAACTTCTCTCAGCATATTGATCTGAAAAAGGTTGATTTTCTTTCAGAAATTGGCAGGCAGACATATTCTGAATCATAGGTGTATGGATGTTGCTACAAATTTAACAACAGTATATCTCAAAGTAACTTTAAGACCTCCTTCCAAAAGCAAAATGCCTTAATCGGATATATACACACACACACCTGTGTTTTATGTTCTGTGAATAATCTGAAATTTCATTTTTCTTCACCACCAGGACATCTACTTGAGCTGAGTAAGAGATGACCTGAAGTACATTCCAGCGGTGGCACGAGACTAGAACAATAAAGTCAGGGATTGAATACAGGAAAACTATTCATGAAAAAACAGAATCTCTTTTTATAACATGAATGCCAGAATTTTCATACAAATGCACGTATTCTTTTTAAAGTAATAAATGGATGTTAAGCGACCTTTGCCTTGACACTCTTTGAAAAGAGAGGAGATTTATTTGGCTTGAAAAGTGATGGAGACGTATAGGTTGAGCGAATCACGTCGACGAATAACCGATGATGCTGCCAAAAGAAGAAAATGACTGGCAAAGAAGCAATGACAGCAATAGGGATAGAATATGGTAGTAATTCTTGGTTGAAAACAAGGAAAAAGGCTGCAATAAAGGCTACCATCATTGCCCCAATTGAGATGAAAAGCGTTGTGAGTCCAATAATCAACCTGTTAGGCAATGACCAAAGAAAATCTTGTTCTGCATACCGAGAGGTGCGAATAGACAAGAAGGTTAACACAGATGAGGCAGAGGTGATCAACGATATTGCATCCGACATTGCAAAGAGTTTGAATGCAATCTTCCGAAGGTAAACCGGTACCCCGGCATCTTGTTTGTTACCACCCGGTAAGGTAAAAGCTGCTGCGAAAACCACAGTGGCAATAAGTGTTGCTACAAGCATGCAAGAATCAGCAGTATCACTCATCCATTGCTCTCCTTCTTTCATCAAGACCTTGTGTTGTTCTATAAATAGAGCTCCTGGAGTTTTCCCGTCTTTATTATTTTCTTCAATATGTCTTGGTTGAACTACTTTTTTCACTTCCTGGAAGTGTTGAGAGACTGTGAGATATAAATGATTATATGTACAGAAGAGGAATATTGATGGAGAAAGTGAGAATATACATTCACCTCAAACCAAAGCAATTCGCATTGAAGTTGTAAAGCTGCTCCAGGTATAACATTTAGTCGACTCGGTGATTCCACTACTTTCGCAGCCAAATGTAACATATTATTCCCTTCTCCGTCTTTGTATGTTGTTATCAAATTCTTAATAGAGCCAATCTGATATATCATCTTGAAGATGTGCTCGTGACGATTCAGGATAGCAAGGTGAAATATGCTATACATATTATGTTCAACTTTGAAGATAATATCAGGGTACAAACGAATAATTATGGTTAGAAAGTCAAGGTTCCCTCTTTCTGCTGCAGTAAATACTAATGGCCAGGGCTCTCCAATTTGATAAGAAATGGTTGCATCATCCAGCAATACTACTTGTTCCCAAAGGTACTGGATTAGATGAAGCGCTTGTTTGTGCATATGTTTCTTCTCCTGAGCCAAACTGTAACCTGAAACTGAGAATTAAATGCAACAAAATTGAATTGTGGGCCTAAAATTTAAACAGAAGATGCAACTAAAATTGTAATTCACCAGAGAGTTTGAAAATGATGCATAAAGTACACATGTGTAGGTCAAAGATATATTTGGCATTCAATTAACAGCTGAAGTTTCTGGATTGGCTGCTTTCTTATAACAAATCATAGAACAACCTTATACAGAAAGAGAGATCCTGAAGATCTGAGAACAGAGAACTAACAAGGGTTGAGGCATTTGTTCCAAAATCCTGGTGGGCTTTGATCGACAACATAGGAAGGCATACAAGACTTTTGAGCCAATGCATGCAATGCTGTCAGCTGATGTTCGTCACGAGCATAGGCCAGCAGGGGGTGCGCTTTAAGCATTGTCAGTGCTACATCTGAGAACAAAAATAATAAACAACAACATGAAGAGAAGTTGGATGTTGGGAGACTCGTAATTGATTCAACAAACTTAAATTTAAATGTAATCGGAAAGTTCCACAAAATTTTGTTTCCTTTACCAGAACATAGAAAAGACTGCTCACCATATATGTCACTGTCAATTAGAGTAACAAGTAACTCTATTCGATCCCCATCATTTAACTGATCTATAGTTTTATCATAAAGATACGACACCATCTTCCTATGCCCCAAAAGAGCTGCCATACAAATTGGTAACATATCTCCTCTACCTCGAGTCATTGCCAAATCACTGCTCTTCGCCATCATGATTTTGGCAAGTTCTTCGACTCCAGATATCGCTGCAAAACAAAAGGCTGTGTTTCCTGCATCGTTTTTACAAGTCAAAGCCTCTTTGCTCATCATCTCAACAAGTTGTTTCACAAAATGAGTATGCTCCGCGGCAGCTGAAATATGTAGAGCAGTCTCCCCTCGCTTAGTTATCTTAGCATCAACTTCACGTGGAAAAACCTCATAAATGCCTTTAGCTGTGTCCCAGTCACCACTCAGGGCAGCTTGATACAATTGCAAGTGTCTTTTTCTTTCTTCTGTCAAAAAGAAAGAGTGGTGAACAAGTTAAAATAGTTTTGGAACCATTTCCATACATACACTTAGTGGTATTATTATTGGAAATTATTATAAAACACCATTAACTTGCAATTTTTGAATAAAATTTCTGGTTTTCATGCAGTCGGATGTAGGAAATTGAAGGATGGAAATGGAGTGATGAAATTTTCACTGCATCATAATCCCTTTCAAATCTCTATTATTACAGTTCTTGTTTTTCCCTAATTTTTCTTTTGTTTTTCATTAACATTGCTTCCATAATGATCACTACCAGAAGGCAATCAAAGTCAGAAATCAATGCATTAAAACTGACACCAATTTAACATGACATCCAACCAATTGAAGAGCACTTCTGCAGGAACGAACAGCAGTATAATCCAAAGCATAAAAAAGGAAGCAGTATTAAGAACTAGAAGCAAAATGTTTTTGTGAATTCTGTAATCTCTATTTATAAATACCTCCATCACCAGTAGGCACTACTGTTGCAAGGTCTTCGATATCCTGTTGACGGCCTTCTGGCAGCATACTTTCTGATGCTGCATTAATGTTATTGCCATTACTAATCTTCATTGCTGCCTTTGTTTCCAAATTACAAGGCCTCCCGGCTAAGATAAAGAATCCAAAGCAATTATGAGATCGGAAAAGATCATCCAAGTAGGCAGTAGCAGTATAGTTTAAAGATCAAGATGTATGAAGGACTTACCTGGAACTGGAAAAATATTTGAGTACAGAGGAAGTAATCCAAACTCTGAAAGGAAAAGATTTATTTGTCGTGTTTTCAATTGATTCTTATTCTTCTAAATGAACCAATGCTACCCTCAACCTAGCCTTAGAAGGAACAAGGAGAAAATATAATAATTTGGGGGGTAAAATGCTTAACTATTATAAAAACAAAAATTTCGAAGGTGAAACTGAAACTTTTCAAAACTTTTGGGTTGCCATGGCCCCAGAAGCAAAGCGTGGTTCTGGCACTGGATGGGATAAAGGCAACTGGATAAATAAATAAACAAACGAAAAAAGCGATACCTTTCTTTGTTGGGCAAGGCATCTTAGAAGCCACCAAGTTCAAGTAACTGAAAATTATCAAGTAAAGTAATTTAGTTATCCAAGCCTGGCTTAGGTCATTCAAATTTTCGAGCTAGCATTCATTTGACAAAATGCTGACTGCAATAAAAGGCCTCCTCGAAAAGCTTTACAAAATGAAGGTAATCCTCCCAGCTCCATTTACTAGCAGTTAGATCATCCTTGAATTTTATGTCATGTTTAGGCTACATATTCTTTCTGTCAGTATATGAATCTCTTTAGTCTCTACAAATGAATTCTCCATCACTTTTTATTGTTGTTGTTGTTGCTGCTGCTGTTATAGCTTCAGAAATCTAATTTGAGATATTGGTACCATAAAACAAAAATATGGTTTTTTTCTGATCATTAATTTCAACTCGGCTATCTAATACACTAATTAATTTTTTTATGTTTAGATGTTTCCTAATCGTATAACGAATCAAAGAACTGTGAAGACAGACATGTATTTCTTCCTTTGCTATATATTCTTATTTTTTGTATTATAACTCTATAGTCTATCCTCCTTCCAGTTTGGTGATGGACATGGTACGTCTGATGATGTGGATCGACTTTTGAAAGAAAGAAACTCCCTTAATAATCAGGTACTTCTCCAAGAAGAGGAAATGAGAAACCTTAGAAACATGTTGGCTCAAGAAGTCGAGGAAAATAGAAAGCTTCAAAGCAGGTTGGCTCAAGAAGTCAAGGAAAACAGAAACCTTCAAAGCTTGTGGGCTCAAGACGTCAAGGAAATTAGAAACCTTAAAAGCATGTTGGCTGAAGAAGCTAAAGAGGCAAGAAAGCTACACGGCCCAACAGGTAAGATTCGGAAACTTTTTAATCTTGTCCCTTCTACGAGAGAGACGAACCTCACAGGAGCAACCCACAGTGTTGGTAGGACTCCTAAAAGACAAGGATTGTAGATCAAATCCCGCATTTTATTGATACAATTATCAATTGATATTAATATTTGTATAATCTTCATCCATTCCCACTGTCTGTGTATTGTTTCTATTGATATTTTTTCTACGTTGTTGGATTAATAATCCCACTCTCTTCATTGCTTTTTCACAATCTCCAATTGGTATTGTCCCATTCATTTGGTGCCTTCCCAACCTCTGGGATGAGATGTCATGTGTTTTCCTTTTATTTCCAAATTGCTTTTATTTTTTCTACATTGTTGGATTAATAATGTTTTGCGCATTTTTCACAACAGCTGATTAAATATTTTGCGAGAGCAGAAGAATCCCAGAATCTTTGAACTTGCATCTCAAAACATTAATTAAAAAAAAAAAGGACAACGCAAAGGAAGAAAGCATACAATCAAAATTGCGATGAAATTTGCAAAATTAACTGTTCTTACTAGAAGATAAAATGACAACTTTGGTTTAGCTCTCTTCACTAGATTGATTATCATCATCGGTCATCGTTGTCGTCATCAACCCCTTAACAAGGAAAATTTTCTCCACCACTCAACATTAGGAGAGAAATTTAAAGTCGTCATGAACTACTAACTACATATACTTTTGAGGGAAGGAAGAATAGCAAGGCAAAACAATAGAGATGGGAGTGGTGGACCATTTTAACTGCTTGTCTTGTCTCGTTCTCAGAATATCTTGAAGAGCAGGCCTCCGTGTGTGGCAAAGAATGGAGCAAAGACGAGCGATTCAACGGCCATCAGTTTGATGAGGATATTGAGTGATGGTCCGGATGTATCCTTCAAAGGGTCCCCAATGGTGTCACCAATAACTGCTGCCTTGTGTGGATCTGATCCTTTAGGGCCAAGAGATCTTGCATGCTCTGAAACACCAGCCTGTTTCCAACAAAACAACACGGGATATTCGCATTAAAAAACCATGATTTCAGAACACCAAATTGCAAATAAAGAAGTTACAACAAAGCTCACACGATGTATACCTCGATATATTTCTTGGCATTATCCCATGCACCGCCAGTGTTGGAGGCAGAGATGGCAATCTGAAACGCAGACACAACAGAATAAATGATCCGACAAATGTAACAAGACATCTATAACATCCACTAATATAATCTCAAATTTATGTTGGCCAAGGAGATTCTGTGAACCAATAGCCTTTGCATTACCTGGACTCCAGACACAAGGGATCCAGCAAGGACACCAGAGAGGGTTTCAACACCGAAAAAGATCCCAACAATGAGGGGTGTGAGCATGACAAGTGCACCAGGTGGGATCATCTCCTTGATGGAAGCATCTGTGGAGATCTTAACACAGGTGGCATAGTCAGGCTTGGCAGTGCCTTCCATCAAGCCAGGGATGGTGTTGAATTGCCTGCGAACTTCCTCAACCATCTTAAGAGCTGCACTTCCCACACTCTTCATTGTCATGGCAGAGAACCAATAAGGAAGCATTGCACCCACAATCAAACCAATGAAAACTTTAGGAGTCAACACATCGACTGTTGAAATGGATGCACGGCTGACAAAGGCACCAAAGAGAGCCAGCGAGACAAGAGCTGCAGAGCCAATGGCAAAACCCTAAAAAAGGCAACATGAAGATCAATTAGAACTGTGAAACTTACAATCTCTGCCCATGCAACAAGTCATTTACCAGTTTCTTTCTTCCAGTCAAAAACAAAATTAAGGATAAGTGCTCTACAACTAATGATGTAATACAATTTTACTGCAAAATGACTCAAGCTGCCAACAAATAATAAACGGCCTGAAAAAGATTAAAGACTCTGCAGAAGCCTTGTTCCCAAATGAAAAAAAAAATATGTGTCAAAAATGAACAGCACATGTAACAAGACTAAGAATTCTCATTTCTCCTTTTTATTTAGAGAAGGGAAAGCCAATTCCATGTTAAGTGATCCAAGGAACTTGCAATGAGTATGTCTTCTCTTTACTTGGAGAAGGGAAAAGCCACTTCCATGTTAAGTGGTCCTAGGAATTTGCAATGAGTAGGCAACGTCCAACTTGTCTAATCATAAAATAAAAAATCTAATTTTTTTTCAAGGGAAAAAACACAGAAAAATCCAAAACTAATGCTGAGCCAAGTTGCCTATTTCGTTTGTCATGTGCTGTGTGGACCACTTGAATGTGGTCCCATAACAAAAAACAAATCATTAAAACCACTTAATAACACATTAATGCATGAAAAAATTGTGCAAATCCGTATGTTAACATGACATTTAAAGCAAATACAGATTGCAGATATCAACTACAACAAAAAAGTAGGTGGTTAAAGCCCAAGATTAAAGAATTTTTAAGACCTTCCCAATAGCAGCAGTGGTGTTTCCTGCAGCATCAAGGGCATCAGTTCTCTCTCGGATTCTGTGGCTCATGCCCGCCATCTCAGCAATACCTCCGGCATTGTCACTAATGGGACCATATGCATCAATTGCCAATCCAGTGGCAATGGTACTCAACATTCCAAGGGCAGCTACAGCAATACCATACATAGCAGCAAAGGAGAAACTAACAAAAATACTAACTGCGATAGCAAAGATAGGAATAATGACAGATTTATATCCCAATGCAAGCCCAAAAATAACATTAGTGGCAGCTCCAGTTCGGCAGGAATCAGCAACATCTTGAACAGGGCTGCAGAGTTGTGTAAAGTAAAGAGTTAAATGAATTGTTATTAGGGGAACCATAAGTAGAAATACAAGTGGGACAAAGCTTACCTGTATGCATTGCTAGTATAGTACTCAGTTACAAATCCAATAATAAGGCCAGCCCATAGACCAACAGCGACACACAAGAAGAGTTGCCTGCATACAGAATTCAATGCTATAAGCAAATACTCTGTCAATGTAAAGAATAAGACAGTATGACCCAACTAGAATGGCACTAAATTTTTATCAAAAGAACGTCAATAATAGATCTTACCAATTCTTGACAACTTTCTGGGTTCCAAAATTGAAGATGGTAAAGGAAGATGGGAGAGCTATCCAACTAACAATGGCGATTCCAACAGTCATCAGAACAGTGGAGATTATGAGTTGATTCTTTAGTGCTGGCTCAATTTCCTTCACAGCCTTGATCTCAAAGAAATCAGTTGCAAATAAAGTCGTGATCAAACAAATAATGATACCAACGGAACTGACAAGGAGAGGATACAGCATTGGAGTAAACTCGTGATTGATTCCAAAAGAGGAGATGGAAGCAACAACTAGGGCGGCACAAGAGGACTCTGCATAGGAGCCAAAAAGATCAGATCCCATACCAGCTATATCACCAACATTATCACCTACATTGTCAGCAATCACCTGCAATCACAGAAGGAAATCAGATACAGCCCAAACCAGAAACCATGTCACAGTTTTCAAGACAAAGGGTTCATTCAATAGAGGAGGATGACTTACAGCAGGATTTCTAGGGTCATCCTCAGGAATGTTCCTTTCAACCTTGCCAACAAGATCAGCACCAACATCAGCAGCTTTGGTGTAGATACCTCCACCAACTCTGCCAAAGAGAGCCATGGAAGATCCTCCGAGTCCATAACCAGTAATAGACTCAAAAAGCCCTTCCCAGTCATCACCATAGTATAGCTTGAAGACGTTGATGGTAATGTAAAGCACCAAGAGACCGTTTGCAGCAAGGAGAAAACCCATAACTGCCCCAGATCTAAATGCAGTAATAAAAGCCTTCCCAACTCCTTTCCTTGCCTCCAGAGTGGTTCTGGCATTAGCATAGGTGGCAATTTTCATCCCAAGAAAGCCAGAAACCACTGAAGTGACAGCACCAAGCACGAAGGATATGGTACTGAAGCCAGCAGTGGCAAGAGCAGGCTTGCACGACTTCAATGGGTCATAGGTGCAAGGCTGACTCTTTGTGCTGAATCCCTCAACAGAGCCAAGGAAAACGAAAATCAAGATTGCAAAAGCAATCATGAAAATTCCAACATACTGATATTCCGTAAAAAGGAAAGAAGTTGCACCTGCAAAAGTAAAGATATCCACGTCCACAATTAGGATAAAAAATGACAAGGAGAAAAGATTACTGACACAAGATAATGTATAAATATAAAGCAAAAATGCAAAAAAAGATCGTCCCAGATTATGTTTTCATTTAGTTAAATGTTTAGGCAAGAAATCACTATTATTGAAGAGTGAGAAAATAACTAACAGTTACAGTCACGGATATAGCCCCTCCAACAAGTTGGTTTATACTTCATAATTTACCATTCAACAAGAAAGCATGAAGTTAAGGAACTCAAGACCAATCATGGCAAAAGATTTGTACAATGTCCTAAATATCTGGTTTTCACATCCTTGTTATAATTCAAAACAATTTTTGCCAGATGAAGAAATGCAACGAAGTCCTCACAGTCAATAATACAAATAATAACTATCAAAGAGAAATTCACGACAGATATCCTTAAAAACTGTCAAGAGAAACTAATCAACTTATTAACAACCCATAAAATAGAATTATGTATAAGATGCTTAGATCTATTGAAGATTTGCAATAACTTAAACAAAACCTGTAGATCTAGCAAAATTTTAACAAAACGGTTACTTAAAACGGCAAATAGTAACATTCCAACCCAGTAGGCATCAGGGTTGACTGGTTGGTGGCAAAATTTACCCAGATGCCACTAAAGACCGCATTTAACAATCTAATTATGGCCAAACGTCCAAAGTCTTTCTGCATATCCATGTGTTTTAACTGGATAATCATTACATATTTACAACAGACAAAAAAAAAAAAAAAAAAAAGAACAACAAAAAATGGGTAGATCTCAAATAGCACTCCTTCGGTCCAAACAAAAATATACGTTCCAGCTACGAATAAATGGACAATACACCTCTAGAAACGAAGGTTCCAATATTAGCCACCAACACATGCGTGAAAGGAATATTTTAAAAATAACCATATAAAAACTGGATTTGTTTTCTTTTAACTAAGCAAACAAACTATACGAAACAAAATCATACAAAAAAGAAACAATAATACCAAAAAAATCCAAACTTTCCCCAGTCGAACCACAAAGCCTTCACCAAAACTCATACAGAATCCTTCACAGGAAAAAAAAAACAAGAAATGCGAAAGACCACATAAAAAGACCCAAACTTTACCAACAAAAACAACTCATTTCCTTCCATTTCAAAACCAAAACACCAAATCACCCAGAGATCTAAGCTCAACAAGCCCAAAACACCCAAAAACTCACACTCGAAGAAACAACAAAAACACTAATGTTATTATAACTCCTTTTACCTTCAGAGATGGCGTTCTGAATCTCAGCACATTTAAGAACAACATTATGGTCATTAAGACCTTCTTCTTCCTCGATCAAATAATCACCATACCCATTCTTTCCACCACCTCCACTGTTATTCGACGCCGCAGAACCCGGGGTCAGCTTGACCTTGGAAACCAACAGCCATTGAAAGAGAGAGAATCCGATTCCGATAATGGCACATACCGGAATCAGAATTTCCGTTCCCAGATCTGGCAAAATCGTCATGGCTACAAAACCCTAATTTTTTATTTTATAATTATTATTGTTTCTCCAATCTAAGAAAAGGAGTAGAGAGAAAGAGAGAGAGGTTACTGGACAGAAAGAAATGAAGAATGTGTGATATAGCGAAGGGGAGAGAGAGAGAATAAGGCTGTTATTTATAGTGGGTGACAGACAGATCTGATTTGTTTTGTTAAAAAAAGAGCATCCATTGAGCAGACAGTAAAAACAGGTCATGGAGTTTGAATACTAAAATTTACTATTTTTGGTCAGAAGGTTATTTTGGGAATATTACTTTTTTTATCCTCAAATTTTGGAGAATTTATGGTGGTATTTTGGCAGTTGAGGGGAAATGGATTTGATTTTTAGAGGGATTGCTTTCGGTAACAGGATGATTTTATTATCATAAAGGTAAGTTTTCCATTTCATTAAAAATTTTAATAGAGTTTATCCAATTTTTAACGAGTCAAGATGATCTGTTATGATATTATTATTAAGGCAAGGAGGTGATTTAGCTGCGATACATATATATATATATATATATATATATATATATAGAAAATATTGGAATTTGAAGTGTCACCTCTTTCTCTCCAACGGCTAAAAGAAAAGAAAAGGAAGTTGAAATTTTCATATTTTTATTTTTCATCACGAAATACAAGATCAATATATTCAGTTTTTGTTCATATGGGCAAAAATATTTGACATCTTTTTTTATTATTATTTTATGAGATCCAATCTTGAAAGTCACACTAAAAAAAATTATTTTTATAAATGAATTATTACAATGTAAAAAGTATATTTTTACAATTGTTTTGAAGAAAAAAAAAACTTAACCTCCATTAATATGTAAATTGATTTTAAAATTTCCATAACAACTTAACACATCAAAAAACAAAAAAAAAAAAAACTTTTGTTAAATGTTTCAAGTATCAATTAACCACTAAATTTTTTTTTTTACTTAGATATTTCTATCCTATTTTAAATAAAAATACTAATTTTATTTTATACGAAACGATAAGATTTAATCTCTCTCAATAAGTATGGTTGTAGAATTCAAACAATGCATGTTGGCCTCAATTGTTTGTTATTGATCCAATAATTTATTGGTGTTAATCACTAACTTTTTCAATCAATTCTAAACATAATCGTAGTTATATATATATATATATATATATATATTAAATTTCAATTACAATTATGTGACTTTTACGGATGTTGTTGTCAAAATTAACTATAAATAATAAAAAAGGTAAATCAAAATAATTACTGTGACTAGATTGCATATGCAGTTACGATATGGAGGGATGCATCTAATCTTTTACCTTGGCAAATCACTCGCCAAAATCAAAATTGACAAATACAGAATAATGGATATAAAATAGGATGTCACAAGCGTCGGGTAAGAGAAAACAAAGTACAATGAAAGATTTCCTATTCCAGATGGCAGGAAGCGTAAGGTTGACAGATTGACATCTCACTTGCCAAAATAAAATTCACAGCTAAAAATTAAAGAATAAACGTATAGAATTAGCATATTATTTTGAAGTGGGAACCCTTCTTCTACAAGGTTGTTAGCTACTTGATTAGCATCTCTTCAACAATAATAATATTAATATATTTGCTAAAGTTTGTTGAGCTGGCACCATTCTTCTCGAAGGCATCCTCACACTCAGCCAACATGATCATAATTAATTACCAAATTAAACACATGAAATATTATATTATATGGGGTAGGCAACAACTGCATGCACCCATCGATTTAAAAATTCGTTAGGCTCTTTTTTCAGTTTTAATATTAAAGATATTTTCGGATTAGCTTCTACGTTCTCTGAAACTAGAATTTTTAGGATCAGATTTTTTTTTTTTTTTTGTCTCTAAAATATCTTAACCTCAAATACCTAAATTAATCTCTTTCTTTTCAATCAAATACACATGATGGATATAATTATCCAGAATAATTTCTACGTGTATAAGGATTCAAACCTAAAACCACTATTTTAACAACCAAAATTTTTACTTAAGTTGATCCGATGGGTTTATGATAGGATTTTAAATACGTCATCGGATTTCTTGTTATATTTTAAATAAAATTAATAAATTAGCTAATATAATTGGAGGAAAAAAAACTTCGTATTTGAGTGTTATCTTTTATGTTTGTATTTTAACTAAAAATTAATAAATTAGCTAATTTAACTAGAGAAAAAGCTTCATATTTAAGTGTTATGTGTTATGGTTGTATATAATAACTCAATCCCTTTATTGGTTGATAGATGAATTACTAAGTTGATTTCAAAATTGATAAATCACCTGGGATTAACTTAAAATCTCCGAAACCTCGAGATTAACTTACTAGCTTCTTAGAAATACAAGGACTAACATGAAATTTTAGATATTTAAGATAATCCACTTCATTTATTTTGTAATTATTATTATTATTTGCTATTTGCTAATTGGGCAGCACTTGTAGAACTTTTGCAACAAAAGAGAGATCGTTTGTTGCAGAAAAGGCCAAAGACATTGAAGAGATGTTTATCCTCCGAGGGCTTCTTCTATCAACCAAGGAAATTTCTTGAAACGGACACAAACAATTTTTTTGGAAACTACACAACAAACCTTATCATCAACGGCACAAAAAGTTCCATTTTTGGTCCTATGAGAGAAGGCCATTCTGGTAATAGACTTTGCTTTTACCTTGATGGGAAGGTATTTTCACCTTCTGTCCTGCTCCATGGATTGGTTTCTATTTTCTAGGCTTACATCTCAGCATGAGGTGGCAGTTTTATTCGGATACCTCTCAACTGAAGAGCGTAATTTAGACGCAGTCCTGCGTTCTCTCTGCCAGAATCTGACTCGCTTTTTATCTTTCACTTTATGTCCTTTTTTTCTTTTTTATTCATTATTATTGTTATTGTTATCCTTTGCCTTTTGCATGTAAATGTTAGGGGTTCGTTTAGAATAAGATTATAAAGATAAAGACTTATTCAGACTAATTTCTTAGTTTTTGTCGCATTACTAAGTTTATTTGCTTCACTAGCAGATGTACTTTAAGCTTTGGCCCCAAGATAATGTAGGAAGGTTGTTCCTAATGTTTCAATTGCAAAATAACAAAGTGTTTTTTTTTAAATTAATTTGTAATAACACTCCTTGCTCATGGTTTTTTTTTTTTATCTATTTATCTAAAGAATAACTTGCTCACAATCGTGATTTTTATTATGTTAGCAACGATAATATTAAGTTGAAAAACTGATGTAAACGTGACTCATAGTTTAGTATATTACATAAAATTAACACAATACTCGAAATATCTATGAAATCTTGAATCTGGTGTATAGGTCATTAAATTATTTTATTTTAAATCCAATCGCTTATTCTATAAATATGAGTATTATCTCTTATATTTATAGTTATTTGAAAATCCTTATACGAATTTATAATATAGTTAGAAAAATAAATATATTGCCGAATCACATAAATTTTGTGTGGTTTAATTGCTTTTGTCTTTCTATTTTATTTTTTATTTGATTCGTTTTCTGACCTATAGAAATGATTAAAATAATTGGGTGTTGGTATTAGAGATATATTATGAGCTAATAACGAATATGTTTTCAAATTAATTAAGAAACTATCATGAATTTTTCAAACGTGAATCAAGCATTAAAAAAAGCAGAAAATATTTTATCGCAAAACAAAAACACCCCAGAAGTAACAACAGCTCAACGAGCAATTGATAGAATTTCATCATCACAATCAATTCACAGAATGAAGCACCTAATCATGTATGCTTGAATTGGCCCATGTCGATTCCCAAGGGGAGAAGATGAGGAGGACCATTTACCCAGAATCTGACACTAGCCCAGCAGCCAACAAGCAAAGACACGTGGACGAACAGATCGAATCTAATACTATATTGATGCCATATCCGATATCCCCTTCAATATTGGACCTTCTGTTTCAAATTAACAAGAACTAAATACTTAATTATGATGTTATTATATATGCCCATTATTTTCTTATAATTCTTTCTAATCTGATCTCTGTCATTAGTTGTCTCATCATAACGTGACACCTGAAAGCATGCAGTTAAAGTGATCAGAGAGCATAAAGCATAAATTCTAAATTTTGTCTTTAGAATCTTATAAAGAGTAAATGATAAATTAGTCCCTATTGTTTTGAGAAATGAATTGATTGATCCTTCTTATTTCACAAAATAATTATTCAGTCCTCATATTTTAAAATTTACTTGTCATTTAGTCTTTTTTGTCCTTCTTAATTTATTTTGATTTTTTTTTGTTTTAAGAAATAAAACAAATATGAAAAGATTGATGAGAAAATAAGAGATTTTGTAGAATAAAAATATATTAAATTAAGTATGATCAACATTAATTAAAGGACTAAATAATAATTTTCAAAATAAGATGGACTAATTAATTTATTTCTTGAAACTAGAGGGATTAATCTATAATTTACTCATCTTTAAAATGGTGATGGCTCCAAGGAAGCACCATCATTTACCCTTGCTTTTTCAAGATTGGATCCTAGGCTTTGATTATAAATAATTTTCATATATATACTATACAATGATTGAAGTATTTCATGTTAGATTTTATAAATTAAATTTAGGTTTAAATCGCTTATACAAACAGAAACATAAGTTTACGACAAGTTTTTATTTGCTGTTAATTAAATAGAATTCGAATAAATAACATGAAAAACATATTTATTTATCAGATCGAAATTTAAATTATTTTAATACGAATATTTTATAGTAATAGTTAGGTAGTTTATCTTTTCTTACGAATAAGACCATATAATTAGTGTTGGATTTCAATAGAGGACAAAAGATTTCAAAATCTTTGTATTTTTTTTTTTCCTTAAGAAATAGCCGTTGGGAATGACTTTCAATGGTCTGCATGGCTCGCTTACAGATAAATGGTCAATTCTTTGTTTTGATTTTTTGTTTTCTGTTAATTAAAAATTATGCTGTTTCTTGTATTCAATTGCTT